GTCCAATGGCTTTCAATGGAGAATAAAAAAATTCACCAAAAATTAACAACGCCTCAGAACAACACCAAATTAAGTTTGCTTACGTTTCACAAGGTGGACTATCGATGCCAAGCATTTAAAACAGGTTTCAAACAGTTTAAGGCACTTTTAAATGAGTGAAAAGAGACATTGTTGTGCGAAAATTCCCCATAGGAAACATCGTTGTGTGAGGTGGCAAATTTTTCAGAAAAAGCCATCGTTGTGTGAATTTATCGTTGTGTGAGGCACTCGTTGTGCGAGGCACCACTGTATATTACAAATGGTGTCGGTTTCCTCACAGTGTTGGAGTAACTTAGGTTTAAACTAAAATATAACTGTAGGTTGATAACTGGAGGGTAATCAAAGTTTTTTTAAAAAGCAGAAAATTGATTTGTTATTGAAATATGAACAGTTTGGATGATTGTATATTCTGTGTTCTCCTATCCTCTAATTTTTTTCCCTTTCCCCCCACTTCCTTTTACCTTTTGTATTCCCTACCCTATTCCTAGTAGTTAAAAAATAAATATTAAAAAAAACCCAGATAATTCTATTAGAGAATACTCGCTCTTTTGCTCTAGTTGTTCCTATACATCCTACCAACACGGTGGTAAAAAGGAACTGAGGGGACATTTGGAGGGCAGAGCATGTGCTCCACGGAGGGATGTCTCATTGTCAAATTTTTTTAAGCTTTAGAAATTTCCGAAATGTTCTCACAGAACAACCCATTTGTGTGCATTCAGAGGCCTCGAAGAAGAACCTGCTAGCACCGTCAACTCAGTTCTGGGCAACTCAACAATTATTTCAATCATCAGTGGTAGCCTGCATATCTGTAGACTATTCTGCTATCCACCACCTGCAGACCTGAGCAGTATATGGGTTTTGTCATAGGTTGGTTGTGGTTCTTGTTGTTGCTGCTGCTGTTTCAGACATGTCCAAGAGAATTTCCATTACCCAAGAATAATCTGAAAGCAAAACTCAAAGTATAGATAAAGTGATATCTAAGCATCAAAATCCTTTGCATTTATGAAACACTGTAGCAAGAATTCAAATATCAGTGCATTGAGATCTTTGGTAGATTAGCACTTCCAAGTTCAAGAACTTCTGATCCATTGTAATGTAAATGAAAATGTGAAGAATATATAATCTTTTATATATATATATAATAATAATGTTATATATATATATAATAATAATGT